AAAATAAAAAATTGTTTCAACAAAACAGCATAAAACAAGAAATTAGGAGAAAGTATCAGTGAAGTTCTAAGTACCAGATTAGGTCAATTATTTATGTTGTGTTTTTCCATTAAAAATGTAAAACTTCATAAAAAAAAAACAAAAAACAGAAGTAAAGTTTATCTCTATGGAGCTAGTTAAAGGCAAATATTTTAACAAGACACATTAAGAGGCAAACGCATCAGTTTAATACCCAGAGACATAAAACCAGATCAGACCAACTAAATATTTATTTAAAAACCCTTCAATAGGATCCTAGCTATAACCACAACAATTTAACAGAACTGTTTAACAGGTTTTGATAGTTATTCATTGTGTTTAGGCTGAAATGACGGTTGATAAACCATAAAAACAGCTAAACTCAATTTGGATGGACAGGATGGCCAATACAAGGTTAAATTGAACTTTGGCTAAAGCTAGTAATACATACAGTTTTATTACACAATTACACAGGATTCATATCAACTTTAAATAGAGACATTTAGAATATTTAGGTAATTTTGATGCTATGATTAATAAAGGTTAACATTGGTTGTTGGAAACATTCATTAACTCGAACAATCACTCTTTTTTTTTTCATGATTTAGGTTTAAAACTTGAACAATTTTAGAGTCTTTGTTTTTTTTTTACATATTTTCAATTTTAAATTTACTATGTCGTGTGCCATCAACAATCTTCTTCTCCTTAATCCTTCAGACCTTAATATGTTTATCTTGTTTTTGTGACTCAGAAGTTTTCTATCCATAAAGACTAAGTGATTGGTAGATTAATTGATTAATTAATATAAATGAGCTTTAAATCTATAAAAGTTCAGGTAATCATATTAAGACACTAACTTTAAAGCAACCCCTCCTCCTGAGCAAGCATGTGATGACAGAACAATCACCATGTTTAGCTGCCAAACTATCCTAAATAAACAAGTGTGATGTTGAATAATGAGTTTGTTACAAGGAAACGTGGTGATCCTACTCTACGTTTTACTGTATTTGCCTTTTAAGAACAACATATCAAGCTAAATATCCCAGGGGTTAGATACTAGTAACTAGGAAAGTGAAATATTCAGAGTAAATGGTGGAAGTTAAAACAAAAAGGTTTGCTAAGGACAAGAACTATACACTCAATAAATGCGGAGATATGGTAGTGATATATATAAAACTTATATTGTTACGTATTTGCTGATTTACATAAATGTATTAAATGACGTAAGGCTTAACCGAGGAGAAGAACATAGAAGCGACTGCAACCAAATAACAGGAGGCTAAGATATGAACGTTAACCCGGTTATAATGTGGGCACCCTTAAAACACATTAATATCTCCAGTAAGATTATTTACAATCAAAATCTACAACACATGATGCCATACACATTTTCATTCATATAGGTGAGAGGCTTAGGTGCTCGGATATATTATTATTACTTGCCTGTTCCATCCACTTCCATTCCTCCACCATTGCTGGTCGCCATCTTGTCCGGTGTTGTGTCGAAAAATGCAACGCTGTCATTGGAAGATAATTTCAATGCGTTCTGTTTCCTGTTTTTCTGTGTTTTAGCTTGGTTTACCTCAGGGCAAAGTGGCTCGTACTTTCTAGTCCTACTATGTGCTTAATAATTACGTCATTTAACTCATTTCTAGCATTCTTTATACTTAAATAAACCTTATGATATTAAGAAACATGTTTAGGTACTTTCCGACTGTTGCCTATCCCAGCGTACCAGCGTCACTTTAAATATGTAACAATTAGTAAATGTTTATACAATTGTGTTTTTCGTGCTGTTAGAAATGTGAAAGAGTATTTCTTATATTTTATTTACATGTAACATACACAGAGACGCCGGTGCACATGATTACAGTAGGAGTACCTTTTTTGGCACAACACCGGTGAAGCGCGCATGCGCAAGAAGCGTTTCGCTAAATGAACGATAGGTGGCAACACTTCCTCTGCCAGCGTCTCTAAACATGGTTTAAAGCTCCATTGTTACTATAAATGTTCCAGTGTCATAAAGGGAAAGACTGAATACACTCAGTCGCGACACTTCTAGTGAAAAATAATTTCCTAGTCGCGTTTGTTCCGCCTGGTTAGGTCCTTCAGTGTGGACGGGCAGCTGTTTCCCGGGGATCGTTGATTTAGGCGCAACGTCGTGTGCGTCAACATATAATTCCGTGTTTGGACTTTTATTTACAAAATGGATGAATATGAAAGTTGTAATCTGGATTACTTCCCAGAGAACATTTTAATAGACGTACTCTCATACTTGAGTGTCAGAGAGCTCGTCAGAGCTGGAAGGTAAGGAGGTGTTTTGGCTTTTGAAGCAATTTTCTTTGTTGTAACTACCTCAGATGAGAGTTGTTTATATTGCAAATGTTTTTTTATGGTAAATGATCTGTACTTATGTTGCTTTTATTTAAGTCAGGAGACTTGACCAAAGCCCTTTACTCTACATTCAGTCATTCACATTTTCTTGCTGTGTTTCTAGAGTTTGCAAAAGATGGAAACGCCTGATTAAAGACCAAAGACTGTGGAGAACAGTTGATTTGACTGGATGGAAAGGAGTAAGACTGACATTTTTCTCTCTTGCAAAAGTTTTTAAACCCCTATAGTGTTTTCACATACAGCCACAAGCTTCATTATATTTTACTTTGGGATTTTATATAAAAAAGCTTCAGAAACACAAAAGAAGTGCATAAATGTTAAAGGAAATGGTTAAAAGGATTTGAAAACTTTTCCCAAATAAACATCTTAAAGGTGTAGTCTGAGTTTTGTACTATGCTTTTTTTTTCTCTGATATAGATAAATTAAAACATGCTTGATGAGGATGTAAGACTATTTTCACTATTCAAAAAAGCACATCTACAAATAATTCATTAGCTGGTTCATAATATCCAACATTATGTATTATTCTAATATATCTTTTCTGAAGCTTGATTATTTGGTCAATGTTAGTTTTTTCAGTATCTACCCAAATTTCAGCTCAGTATGACAGGTAAGGTAAAACACAATACAATATATGCAAACTATTCCTATATGAAAAACACTTTACTGTATGAAGCACAGTAATTGATCTGGATAATTACGCTTCACACGCTTTAAACAAAGTTTGTGATTTATAGTCTCTCCCACAAACTTGATCTCATTTACTTTTTCAACACCATTTAAACATAACCTGACCAAACACCGTGAATCTTTAGCATAGCATACATATTTTTTATTCCAACTCTGTGTGTGAAACATTTTAAAAATATTTTTGCATGATCCTCTGCTTTTCAAAAGTATTATCATCCTTCTGTGCTTTCCTTCATTCTTAGCACCTGAATTGTTAATAGAAACTTTTTTTTTTTTATTCCACGTCTCACACGTCTCTTCATTGGCCGTCCAACGTGTTCTAGGTGACGTCCCGGATCCTTTGGGTTCTTCTGCGTCAGTACTTTGGCTGCGGACTGAGGTGTCTCCGCCTGCGTGGTTTGCTGCTCTCTGCTCGAGGAGGCACTTTTCTCTCCGAGTCTTGGCTTAAAGCTTTGTCCACCAAATGTCCCCGCCTCAGTAAACTCTGTCTTTTGCATGCTGACCTAAGGAGCTTACCAGGCTGCCAGGTCCTGCCCCGAACTTTGCGGGTGCTGGAGCTGCGTGGCTGTGAGCTGCCTCGTAGCTTTTTTAACCAGACTCTGCCTGCTTCACCTCCCAGACCCCACGAACAAGCCGAAGCCACATCTAGTGTTGGTGCTAAACAGCAGGGAGGTGCTCAGAAAGGAAAAGGACTAGCTTCACCTTTAGGGATTGGGGTCGAGCGGTTGGTCCTCAACAACGTCCCTTCCTTTACAGATCAGCATCTGCAGAATCTAGCATCATGGGAGAGGCTCAGTCGTCTGGAGTTACGTGACACCTTTCGCGTCACAGCAAACGGACTCAGGAGCTGTGCAGCAAAAGAAGGGCTCTCAGGCCCAGAAGGACTTTCAAGACTAAAATATCTCGAAATAGGGATTACAGCAAGGCAGGGCTATCAGTTACAGATGGCTTCCCTGGGACTGGGGGCTGGGTGGCTTGGTCTGGAGGAGCTGAGTCTTGGTGGGAAGGAGGTGGCAACGGGGTTGCTGTGTGCCAGCCGTCTGAAGGACCTGAAATGTCTGCACCTGTGGGCCTGCACGCTCAGCGAGCTGCAGATCGTACGGAGCTGCAGGATGCTCCGCGGCCTCCGCCAGCTGGAGTTTTTAGATGTCATCTTTCAACCTCGGCAGAGTCCCCCTGCAGAAGAAGGACAGGGGCAGGAAGGGGGGGAGGAGCAGCAGAATGAGGAGGAAGGTCCTGGTGGAGAGAGTAATGATGAGAACAGGACGCTTGACGGGGCCGATCCCTTCCCAGGTCTACGCCGATCACTGGCCGTCTTGTTGCCGTCCTGCTCGCTGGTTTTTACCAACTGCTCTGTTCAGATGAATGCAGACTGATTCTGCTTAGCATTTATTCCCACAGCTTCTCACCAGAAAGTTTTGTCTTACAAGACTAAACACTTCTTTTAATTCCTCAATATGATACAAAGAAAAAAAAAAACTAGAGCATTTATTTTAATTATTAAGTATGTCCTTTATATGTTTCTTTAGTTTAATTAGTATAATATCCTAGCAGTTATTCATTCTGTCATATGAGCAACTTTCCTCAGATACTGCAAACACTTTTCTAACATTTGCACACAACTCTATAGAGAAAAATGGAAAAAAAAAAAGAAATTATTTTTAAAGAAAATTTAGATTAGATTTTTTTTTATAGTTAAAAGTTTTAAAGGATCTGCAAGTTTCCAATGCTTACTTGATCCCTTTGCTAAAACTCTACAGAGCGGTGCGTTGCATGTTAGCTCCTCCAGTAAGAAAAACCTAAAAGAATAAATACTGTATATTTTTAATCTTAGCAGATCACCACCCAGTCAGTTCTGATAAGATTAACATGCATGAAGAAATATGGTTTTTCTCATGAGGGAATCAAAATAAAAATAAAGGAGATGTTTATGCAAGAGAGAAAGCAGAGCATTGACTGGTTGCCTGTCAACAGACATGCAGGTGTTTAAATTCTGAGGAAGCTTGAAGAAACAGTCCACCTGTTTCCTGTTGCCTAACTGCTTTCCAACACAGTCATATATTTTCTCATGGCTGTTGTGTTAAAAATGCAAAGCATAGCATTTTCACATGTATGTATTTTTTCTCTGAGCCTTAACTGATATGAGTTTTAAAGTTCATGAAAAGAAAAAAAGACAACAATGTCTGTTTTATTACCAACTAGAATCACAGACCATATGTTTTATGAATCTAAATGACGTTGGGGTTTAGCATAAATCATGTTATGGTGACGTAGTCTTTATTAAATTCAGAATCATGCATCTTTCTGTCTATTTAAAAGTGTTCGATTAGGTGTTGCAAAGCTTTACTTTGATGGAGACTCCTTTCAAAGGTTGAATTTTAACTTTATGTACCGCGCCAAGAAACAGTATTAGTCTGTTTGCAGATTTATTCTATTGTTTTGTCTCTCTGAAATATTTCAGATCATGAAACAAATACTTTGTGAGGGATCATGAATGAATATTATGGTGGAAAGCAGAAATCCTTTTTACATCAATCAATTTTCCGATGCACTAAGGGCCCAGGCCATCATATTGCCTCCACTATGTTTGTTTGAAGGGCTCCTTATGCGTTTTTGGTTTTGACTTTTGAAATCAGTGCTTTTGGGACCTCATACTGCTGGAGATGTATTGAATGTTGTTCTCTGTTCATATTTCACCTTCAGGAGTACATTTGGTACACTGTCTAATCCTGATGTTAACATCTGTTTTCATGTTTTCTCACTTTTGTTGACAGGAATTCCAAAGCCTGACAATAAATCTACAGTTGAGTCCTGTGTGTGTGTCTGTGTCCTAATGTGTTAATCGGGGTTCATTTGTGATTTAAGAAGAAGAAGGGTGTTTTTATTTTACAAAAGGAAAAGGTTATATCAGGGATGTTATTACTCTGACTTTTTTGTCAGATTACCTGAAACTATCAAGTGTCACAAAAATCTAATGCATCAATCCAAACATTAAAACATCTAAACTAGGCTGTTCTGTATATAAAGGAATTTTCAGCCACTACTAAGAACTTAGTCATTTGGATCATGTTGATGAAATTAGCTAAAGAATAGTCAGATCTTTTTTTTGATATTTACTTTCTAAAAATAAAGTTTGTATATGTACATAAATTGTAAAAATTAGCCACAAATCAAATTTTAATTGTTTTTAAAGCCCAAATGAAATGAATACAATAGAGAAACATAAAAAAAAACAAATCAGGGAGCACAGATTCATACAAAATTATATCAGCAATTTTTTTTAATAAATCAATATTTACAGGCTGATTTGTGAATCTTGGCAACATTGTGTTTTTAGACAAACTGAATGGTTTTTACACCCATACGCTCCCCATTTTCACTTCTATAAGGCATTCCAGTGTGAGGCTGCTATTCCTCATTTTCTGGATGGAATTAAATTCCTGATATATTTGATTCCACATGTTTTTTTATTCCATGCCATATGTATAGTTTATGATGGATCTTCTGCACTTGGTTATTAAACTGCAAAAAATGATCTCGAAATGAGGCAACTATTCTTAAATTAGGTGTATTTACCCTTAATTTGAGCAGGTAAATAAGGTTATTTGCAAATGGAATGTTTTCATTCCATTTGCAAATAACCTTTTTATAATAAGTTTTTTTAATCTTAAATAAGATAATTAAATAGAATGCACTTGAAAAAAGACAATGCAATTCCTTGTTCTTATTTTAAATGTAAATCATCTTGCTCCATTGGCAAAGCTTCTCACTTACCCCCTCAGTTCAAGAACAAACACCTATTTTAAGAAAAAATTAACTTATTTAGATGTTGACTTATTTGAGTGTAAAAAATACCTCCTGGTTGCTTTACAAACTTGACCTCAAATTGATGCATTTAAAGCTTTTAAAAAGCAATACAGTCTTATAAGTATATATTTGTAATGCTGACAGATAACTTGATTAGTCTGTATCAAAAATGAAGCAACTTTTTAAAAAGTAGTTTTTTATTTTAATATTTGATCTATTTATTGTTCCATGGTTGGTGGGAAGCTGTGTCTGCTTGTTTATTGAAGTCTTATAAGTTCATGGTTTTTTTCTAATATTTAGTTACATTTTAGCCAAAATTCCAGTCCCCCTTTTTTGTTGATTTAACATTTTGGGTTGGCAAATCTTTTCCTTTTTAGGATATCTAGTTAATTTTTATAAATATTATTAATTGTCACACGTTCTTTTAAATAATGCACTATGTTGTTCTTGATGAAATGTATGAACGTGGTCTAGCTTTTGTGTTTTTTACAGATCCTTTTCAGAATGTTTATTGATAACAAAATATAGGTTGGACTTCAAATAGCCTTGGCTAATAAAACTGGAGCATGAATTGAGAGACAGCACATAAGCCACCTACAGAATATTGTAGGGTTAGATTAGAAATGTATAGGTTTGATTCTCATTCACTCCCAGCAGTTTTCTTTTCTCAGATACCAAGTATTTTGGAATTTTTGGGGGATTTTTTTTAATTGCCGGCAGAATGGACTTGCTTAAATTCATTTTTAAACCAAACTTGTCTGAAAAGTCTAATTAATTTATACCAGTCTGATAAATGAGGAAAATCACCATATCATCAGCTAACTGTGATCTTTTAGATTCTTTGTTGAAAGTTTCAGTACCTTAAAAATGTGTCATTTTAATTTCAGTGGCCATCATTTGTACTGCAAGCAGAAAAGAAACATATGGACTGATTCTGCAGCTTTGTTTTTTCCTCTAAAAAAATATGAGCAACATTCCATATGGCAGTTTTATAGAACGGCTACAGCTGTTATAAATAAATATACAGATGAACCATTTTCCATATCCAAATGTTTGCTTTGTTTTGGTCGTGAATTGGAGACTAACTGTATCTAATGCTTTGCAAAAATTAACAAATAAGACAAAGCTGCCCTCAATAATATAAACATTATAATCCAGCATATCCAGATTCAATCTTACATTAATTATAACACAGTCTTGACTGTTCATTAGTAGTTTCTGACTCTCTTCTTCTCTCTTACCTTTTCATAAGATGTAGGGAAATATTTCAGCATCACTATTCAATATTTAATTTATCTTTTTTTAGTTTTAGAAATTGTTTGATGAGTTTTTGTTTAAAAGCAGATGGCAGAGAGCCTTTTTATAGAGCTGGCTCTTCAAAGTGTTTATCCAATTCATTCATAGACCATCATTGCCATTGGGGTTTATTGTCTTAAATGAATAGAATTAATTAATTTTTAAATGTTTCATCAATTGTTTTTGAATTTGATTTTATATTAAGGAAAATGCTTTTAATTTATTTGTTTTATCAAGATTATCCCTGGAATATAATTTCCTGTAGAAACTGGCTACATATTCTTCATTGATTTTATTTTTACATACTACATTATTTATTTAAAGTTTGCCTACCTGTGAAATTTTATATCATAGTCTTCTTTTTTTTCTGAATGAAAGACAAACGATTTTTTCACTGTGCCCAAGTCATTTTCTTCTTCATCTTATAAAAGCATCTTTTCCCTTTCTTCATACATTTAATCTACTAAGTTCTGTATTATTTCGAGGTGTTCTTGTTTGTCCTTTTTTAAATAAACATATTCAGTGATTGACATTATTTGAAAAGAGAGTTGCTTACTCAATCTAGTTACAAATTTTCAGATTTAAAATGTTATTAATTCCCAGGTCTCTCTATATTGGTTGAGTTTGTTTTAAAAATCGACATCATTAAGTACATTTCCATTTATACATGTTTATCTCTTGACCTTTTGGTAACAAAGTTTATTTTAATAGCTAGAGCTCAGTAAATACTGTTTGCATAATTTCTGTTTTCACCTATTTGAAACATGTTTGTAGATAAAGGAAAAATCAATTGTAAAGAAAGTCCCTATTGCTCCATGGGTAGATCTTGGTATTTGGGTGATTATATGTCCAAATATCAATCACTTACATCCTGTGTGATTCCTTTAATTTCATTCTTTTGAGGATACCTGTCATTCATTTCAGTATTAAAATCTCTTCTCCATATATAACTATGGCTGGGGTGAACTTGATAATTACATATATACTTTGCATTCTATAGTTTGTAATAAGATTTTTTTTTCATTTGTTGTATAAATTTTAGTAAAATGACCTCCAGAACAATAAAAAAAGCCATTGACCATTATCATCTGTGGTCTGTCTTCTGATATTTCCCTTTAGAACAGCGACCCCTGCTGATCTATTACTGCAGAACGATTTATTTTATTAACAGTCATTTTCCAGCATGCGTTTCCTGCACAAAATGAAAATATGCATATTTCCCTTGACTAAAGTAAAAATATATATTTATTTTTACTTATTTTTAGATCATTCTATACTCCCCTGACATTTTATTGGAAAAAATAAATTGACATAAAAATAAAACGAAAAAGATAAAAAGATAAAACATTTCTGTCCTCTCCTCTGTCCATTAATCATTAAAATCCAAATACATTTCAGTTTGAGGTTAGCCATTGTTTTAAATGCATTAATTAGCGGCTCTAAGCTGTTCCAAAAATGACTTTATTTGCGGCAGCGCGACTGCTTTCATTTCGTAATGGCTAACTGCCCAAATTAAAATAGAAAAACATCTTATGTTTGTTTTTAAGTAATTTTTATATTTTAGATATTTCATATTATTGACCGGTGGTTCAAAAACTTACCACCAGCTGGCGGCAGTAAAGCGCCACATAGCTGTTTTCTGAATGCCGATAAACCGAAGAAGAAGAAGAAGACCAATCCCGTTCGCGGAAACTGGCGATTTGAAAACGTTGGCGGCGAGGGAAGCTTTAAAGAAAGACTGGATTCCCTGCGCTGTGGAGCTAAAAGCTGTATATCTAGCAAAAATGCAGGTAATGTTTATTTTATGTCGAAAATGTAATCCAAATAGTCACGTTTTCTGGTTTGGAACAGCGTTTCAAAATATATTTTTGATGTTAGTCTTAGCTAACGTTAGCTTCCTGTGTTCAAACAAACAAACAATGTTATTACGACGTTAGTGACATTTTATTTGATCTGTTTTCGGTCACAGCAGCGAATAATTGCAGAGCGGTCTTTATAAATAACATTAACGTCAACCATAAGACCCGAAAGACTAACTCCTTAGTTAAAGATATTTTTTAGGCTCAAGTGAACGTTGCTAACTGTTTAAAAATGCTATTTCTTTACAAGACTACACGGTGAATGTGATGTCAGGTTTAGGTTTAGCCCTTTTTTTGGAGAGAAAAGGCCTAAAATAACTAATGTCAGCTGTGTAGGATTTTATTCAGGAGTCAAATATTCTTTCAAGGTTATTTTTCAAGGATTTGTGTCCGTAGAGTCTTATTTGGTGTTTTGTTTTTACAGAATAAGGAAAATTATGAGCCCAGGGCTCCCCAAAGACAGGTGAGTGGTATTTCTACATTAAAAAGTAAAGCTCAGCATTTACTGTAGTTAACCTTTATAAATGCTCACCCTTTACTTGAAAAATCTAATTTAGTTGTTGTTAACCATCAGTAGAAACAAATGTATCCAAAAGCGAATCAGTGTGTAGATATAGGTACATAACTAGAACTGTCAACATTTCTTGTATTTTCAGATTTTTTTATTTTTTATATGTCTGCTCTGATTATCAGTTTGAAACCCCAAGTATGCACGGTGGAGCGCAGCGTCTTGTGGTAAAGCCGAGATCAGATGCAATGAAAACTTTGGTTTCAGGTAAATCTCACCTTGTTTGCACAAAACAGAGTTTTAAAAACTGTCCATCAATTACTATTGTGATTTTTCTTTTTTTTTGATTGTTTTAAGGTCCTGGAAGAGAGTGTGTAAGCTCATCTTCTGCTTCTCTGCCAAAGTAAGGGCATTTAAAAACTGCTCTCTCCTCTACCTCTTGATAGTTTCCATGATGTTAAAAGTGTTTGGTTTGTTTACATCAGGAAAATCACCATTGAAGACTTTGACATTGGTCGGCCCCTCGGGAAGGGCAAGTTTGGCAATGTCTACCTCGCACGGGTGAAGAAACTGCAAGCTATTGTGGCGCTGAAAGTGTTGTTTAAGTCCCAGATGGAAAAGGAAGGTGTGGAGCATCAACTACGAAGAGAAATCGAAATTCAAGCACATCTCAAGTTAGTTAAAGTTTTTAGCCATCATCTCTACTACAGTTACTGGATTTTGTTTTGATATTTGGACTGTGTGATTTTATCATTATAGATGGAAAATCATTTTGACACATTTTCATTCTTTATATTTTGTCAATTGTTTCTTTCACCTTTTAGACACCCAAACATCCTGCGTTTCTACAACTATTTCCACGATCGCACCAGAGTTTTCCTGGTGCTTGAATACGCTCCCCGTGGAGAAATGTACAAAGAGCTGCAGAAGTATGGACGCTTTGACGATGAGCGGACAGCAACAGTAAGATTTCATTTAAACTAAGCTTAGAAAACCAGGAGAGATCATCTTGAATTGCTTCTATACTTTCAGTGTTGCTAACAAATGCCTTTATTATTTTTGTAACCGTCTAGTACATGGAAGAAATAGCCGATGCTCTTATGTATTGCCATGAGAAGAAAGTGATTCACCGGGACATCAAGCCAGAGAATCTACTTCTCGGCTTTCGCGGAGAGCTTAAAATAGCGGACTTTGGATGGTCGGTCCATGCCCCTTCTCTGAGGTAAGAAACCCAGGTTTCTCAGAACTTCTGTGTTGGGTTATGCAGCTTCTTAACGTAAGTCACCTCTTTTTAATCCTTCCAGACGTCGCACCATGTGCGGGACATTGGACTACCTTCCTCCTGAGATGATTGAGGGAAATACTCACAGCGAGAAAGTGGACTTGTGGTGCATCGGAGTCCTGTGCTATGAGTGCTTAGTTGGTAACCCACCGTTTGAAACAGCCAGTCACACAGAAACCTACAAAAGGATTATGAAGGTTTGTGTCTGTCCGTGGATATGTAATGCATACTCTGAGCTGGATAGAGCAGTTCTGCGCTGAACGATTTGAGAACATTTATCTGATTATTTAAGTTTTATTGTGAAAAAAACCTCACATCCTTGGGGAAAACATGTTATATTTTATGAGATGTTATGTCTTGATTTCAGTCTTTAAAATGATGGTGTTACATAAGGATTTAAAACCATTTTAAATATGATGTGGTTTATTTGATCAAAAAACTCAATAAAATGTAGTATGACATGTATGTGAATGGATGGATTAAAATGTGAAACAAGTTGTTTATATAACTTGGCACCTACTAAAATATATTTTTGTTGAGATTATATAGTTGAAGGGAATATTTATTAAGATTTAAGTGTCCTCCTTGGTATTATACACTAAATGGATTTATTTATTTTTTCTCAGGTGGATCTGAGCTTTCCCAAAGTGGTCTCTGAAGGTGCACGGGACCTGATCTCAAAGCTTCTCCGCCACAACCCCACCGACCGGCTGTCTCTTCAGAAAGTTATTGACCACCCGTGGGTGCGGGCCAACTCTCACAGACTCCTTCCTCCCACCTGTCCCTGAACCGACTGCCTTGTGACTGTCCTGTTTAGTTGATGTTTTGTAGTTTGGTATGAAAGGCATTTTTACATTTTATTCCTAATAAATACTGAAAGTTTGTATTGTTTTATATATACTGTTGGGATTTTTTGATTCAAATCAAAATAAAGGCAAAAAAAGAAATTTTTTGTAGTGTTTTGAACTTTGAATTCAGAAATAGCTGTACGATTTCACACCAATGCATGTGTGTTTGTAAATGGGTGTATATATATATTGATAGATATAGATATCAGGGTTTCTGCAGGTCATTAAAAATCATTGAATAATTTTTTTACTTAAGGCCTTATTTGACAATAAAGTTCATTAAATGTGATTATCATGGCATTTAAAATGCTTTATAAAAAAAAAAGTGTCAAATATATCAGATTTAGCTGGTTCCACGTGTTTGCATGGAACTGCTCCTTGTTGATCGTAAAGCTGTATGTTCAGAACAGAAGCTCCAGCTACAGAAAAAGCTAGAGAATGGGAAAATGCAAATTTTTAACATAAGTGGCTGGAAAACGAGAAATTCGGGACATGGCTACAGCCTGTCGATGGTTAACATGATGATTACAAAGGATTTGGCTGTGTTTACTTTTATTTATATATATATATATATATATATAAAACGGTAATAGGTACTGGTGGCATTAAAATTATTTCTAAGAGCATTAAAAAGCATAATATTAGAGTTCCTCCTTCCTGTATACACCCTATATATATATATATATATATGTATATATATATATATATTGTGTGTGTGTGTATATATATATATATAATATATATACATACACACGCACACAATTCATACACCACCTATAAGATCCTTTTTTCGTTCCATTGAGCGCATATACGGTAGCGTGGCCGAGCGGTCTAAGGCGCTGGATTAAGGCTCCAGTCTCTTCGGGGGCGTGGGTTCGAATCCCACCGCTGCCATGACTTTTTCCTGACATTTGTATCATTCTTTGGAACTGAGGCGAACGTTTGTTCTGTACTCTACATTATTTATTTGGTCGTTTGCAACTTTGACAAGTAATGTTAACTCTACTCGGGAAGCGAAACATCAAACCTTTTTAAAACGTGTGCTCAGAGTTGTGCATCAGTTTAGCGTCATCTCGGTTGCGCAGTACTCTGAATGGATTTTGAAATTCTTCTGAAACGACTGCATACATACTTTGTTCAGAAGTTTCCGCTCCTTTAATTAAATGAATAAAGACAAGAATCCTGCCACCGTCACTGGAGAAGGCTATTGCTATCAACATTAATAATTATTCTTAATATCAAACGCGTGATTTTCCTCAACAGTGACATAATTTTGAATGTATATGTTTATTATACCACTTTAATATTAACATACATTAACGTAAGCTGTTGCTCTTATTTTGACGGGACAAACTAACGGGTCAAAGTACTTCCGGGTTACCTTCAAAGCGCTTTTGCTTTGACGAACGTCATATCCCCAAACAGATAGCTTGTGCTTTTAAAGTAGGACAACTCCTGATGAGTTATTAGTTTATTTCCTCTTTAAGCAATTAGAATAAAGCGAAGTGCGGGTGAAACATGGCTGGTTTGCCTCCGGGGGACCCACAGCTGGTCTCAATGATCGTCAGTCATTTAAAAACACAGGGGCTCTTCGACCAGTTCAGGAGGGACTGTCTGGCAGATGTTGATACAAAGGTAACGATCCAAATCATGCAAAGTCTGTACTTCAAATAGCACTTCTGATCTGTGTTTTCTAACCCTAATTTGTTTTCTGGTTGTGCTGCTAGTTTATATTGGCGAGTATTTTATTTTTCATAAGGTTGGTTTCAAAAGGCCACCGTTTAATTTGATTAAATTTGTTGTAGAGAAGAAACGCAAGCTCTAAAATCTACACAAAACTCACCTTTCACATTGCTTGTTTAAAAAAATAAAAACAAAAATGTCTTTAAACATCTTTGCTTGTAGAAATAAGCATCTCTCTGTTACCTAGCAACCCCTATACGTTATCAGCTCACCTGTTACAACAGGGCAGCTGCAAATGTCACATCACATGTAGGAGAGTTTGATTTTCTGCAGATATTTGTTAAACACTCTGTTGATGTCTTGCAGCCTGCTTACTTGAATCTGAAACAAAGAGTGGACAACTTTGTGTCCAACCACCTCTCTAATCACACATGGAGCCCTCATCTGAACAAAAACCAGCTGAGAAACAACATCCGACAGCTCGTCCTGCAGTGAGTCTTTATTTGATTTTTCTACTTCATGTGTTGTTTCTTTTCCCCCTGGCTCTCTGACTAAACCAGTCTGAAGGTTTCTTGTTTTAAGCTTATTTTTTTCAGTCTGTGCTTCTTTCATTGTTAAAAATCAGCCATGATATCAGAAATTAACCAATAAACATCCAAATGTCATGCTGTTTATCTGCAAAATAAACTGCATGGTACATGGTACACTTTACTGTTAAGTAAAGATAAAAGCTGTGAGTATTAAATCAAACAAACCAACCATAGAACAAAAGGCTAATATGCAGAATAATGAAAGTCAAAATGGATATTATGTGAAGGTATTTAAGCTAGTCTCAGTATAAATTGAGTTCTACACTGGCAATATATTTACATTGGACACATGCACCTTAAGGACAAGAAGGTCTGTGTTTTTTGATCTAATATAAGGAAAAAACGGAAAAAAGTAATTATTAAGTTTAAAAGTCAGATAGTAGGATGGACATTCTATTAGAAATATTTCATACATTATTCAGAATAAAAAATATGGGTTTGATTGTTGTATTTGTGTGGGCTCCACCACATATTGGAGTAGAATGAAACGAGAGGGCAGATAAAATGGCAAAGAGGGCATCAAAATCCTATTAGTTTTACAGTTAAAACAAGTAAATCAGAGGGAAAGAGTTTTATTAAAAAAACTTGATGAAAAAATGGGAAAAAAGGTGGGATGAAGAAAAAACAGGAAGATGGTTTTATAAAATTCAAAAGATAGGAAAAAGAAGAAATGGAAGATGAAATATAAAGGAGAAGAGAGTGATAACAAGGTGAAGATTTGGGCATACAGGACTTAATTATACACTTTTCAAAATTCAAAAGCATACTACTGGCAAATGTGATTACTGTGGAAAATATGAAACTATAGATCATGTTATACTGGAATGTCATAAATATGAAAACGAGACAATATATATGAGGAGAGAGTTTGAATGATTTAAGATTCATTTATTAGATATTTTGAGGAAGAATTTGGGGGGTAAACGTATGCAAATAATTATTAGATTTTTAAAGAAAACTTATTTCATAGAATTTGATTGTAGAGAGGATGAATGTGTTTATGATATAGACAGGTAGAATACAAAGTTATGTAGAAGTATGTCGTGTTTTTTTTTTCTTTTTTTTTTTTTCTTAGATATGATATATATGTTTATTAGTAGTCCATCACGAACCACACTCCATAGCCGTAAGTGGCAGTAATGCTACTAAATGTTTGTTGCCAACTGCCAATAAATCCAACAAGAAGCGTATAAGAAAAGTTTATTTCAGATTAAATCCTAGAGAGTAAAAGTAAAAAAAAAAACATAAATATCTGGTTCCATCTGCTTTTGTTTGTAGTTCTTTATTTATTGTTGCATTTTTCCTTTTTGTTTCTCTCCCAGATCCGGTATGCTGGAGCAGGGGGTGGATAGGATTGTAGCCCAGGTGGTGGACCCCAAAGTCAATCACATCTTCAGGCCGCAGGTGGAGAGGGTGGTCCGTGAATTTCTGTCACCAGGCAGCTGCTCTGAAGAGCCGATGGCTCCTCTTACACCAGCGGAGATCAAGACAGAGAGCAACATTCCTGAACAAGGTGCTCAACCTTTTCCGTGTTTTCTTATCTATATTTCTGCTCTTTTCCTCCCAATCATGAGGTGGTCACGCTGTAGTACTAATCTGCCTAGGTTAAGTAATAATTCCCCACGCCAACGTTCACAAATCATCTTCCTCACCTGTTGCTATCTCCACAGCTTCATCATCAGCTCCAACTCCTGCCACCGGCAGCAATGCCATGTCCATTCTGGAGACTATCAGTTCTCTCAATCAGGAAGCAAGTGTCCGGACCAGTTCAGCTTCTGAAAAGGCCGGCAAAACTCAGGCTGGGGATGAGCCCATGGAGCTGGTGGAGGAGAGTGAGAGCGACATGGAGATCATCCAGGATGGTGACAGTAACCTAGAAGGAACGCGTCTGGAAGATTCAAATGCAGCTGAAGTCCAAGCAGCAGAAGTAAAGACAGAAAACCTGGAGGAGCAGATGGAGGTGGAGAAGGAGCCACTAAAAGAGGAGGTAAAAGTTGAGGAGGAGGAATTAGGAGCTCTGGAAAAAACGGAGGAAAAGAAGGAAAAACCTGCAAGCAAACTGGGCGGAAAGGCGTCTGAGGACAAATCAGAAGATGAAGCGGTAAAATCTACGAGCCAGGCCAAGCAGAAGGCCAGAGAGAGGATAAAGGAGGGTGAGCTGTTCTTCGCTTTTATAGTCAGAAAATTCACCTTTACATGATGGCAGAACTTTTACTACAGGTTAATCTAAAATATAATAAAGTCATAAAAGAAATCTAGTCTATGGCTAAACTTAATTCTTGTTCCTAACTCGCATCTCTCTATTTAAAGCATTCTTTCTGAATCAGATGAAAAGTTCATCTCTTATATTTCTGTTTATTTATTTTTTGGTTATTTATATTGGTTTCCTTTATCTACCTATCTAGTTAACTTTCTACCTTTTTTTGCCGCTTCATATAATTTATTCATAGGTTTTTGAAGCTGTTTAAAAAGTTAAAACAGTTTCTGCCTCGAGTACGTTGGTGTCTTGTTCTTAGGTAATGGTTGGATTAGCAGGAGTTGACATTTGGGTCTTCATTCAAATACACTAAAGCTGACATGGTCTGTTGTGGTAAAATAACACTGCTCCTTCTTATCAACAAGAGTCAGTTGAATTGCTTTAGTTTCTTTAGAGGTTTTGTTAGTGGGTCACACTGGGAGGAAACTCTAAGGTAAATCCATGACTCAATGGAGGAACTATATGTCCTTTTAGTCTGGGGAAAGCCTTAGATAGAGCATTTATTCCCAGGCACCAGTATTTCACTCTTGGACATATAGACAACTAGAAGCAGGGTTGCAGTGTTTTATAGATTAGAAGGATTTTAAACTTTTGTGTTTATGTATTTTACAGAATATTCTCTGGAGGACTCGGACCTGGAAGGCCTGAGTGACATCACAGTGAGCTCCGTCCACACCAGCGACCTGTCCTCTTTCGAAGAGGAAAGTGACGAGGATGAGGAGCCCTCGGATTCTTCTGAGGAGGGCGAGCTTCCAGCAGACGGTCTCTACCTTCAGAGTTTTTGTTGCTGCTGCTGCTTTATTTCTCCTGCTGGAATGGTTTGGAGCTGATATCCACCATGTTTACTCGTCTGCAGATCAAGGTGAGAAAGCTGAGAGGAAACCGACCGCAGATGAGACAGACGGTGAAGACAAGGAGCGAAAACCTCGCCGTAAGGCGTATGTCCACAAACCATTCCTCTACTCCCGTTACTATAGCGACTCAGATGACGAGGTCACTGTGGAGGAGCGTCGTAGATCTGCTGTGAGTGAAACGATGTTCACATTCAGCAAAGGCTAAAATCTATTTTCAATGAATAGGACTTTTTTTTATGTCGATGGTTAAAGTTTTGATGATGATGAAAAATAACCGCTAGATGTACAGAATATAAACCTGAATCTGATTTATCAGGCTAAAGACAAAGAGGACCGGCTGCTAAAGAGACAGCAGAACAGAGAGCGGCTGGAGGAGAAGCGCAAACAGAAAGCAGCGCAGGCGGAAGAGCAAGGTGGGATTACTTCTCTTTGTGGTGACATGCTGCATAAAAGGGCGACCAAAACTAAATCCCCTTTGAAAGAATCTGTTATTTCCAACAGTTTTAAACTAGACGTCACATTAAACTCATCCCTCTCTGTTTTATTCTGGAATAATCTAGTTATATTTACAGTTGTTAAACAGCCACATTGTTTTAATCAAATCCCTATCTGATAGCCAAACACAAAGTAATCTATAGTTATGAAGAAAGATGGTTTGAAAAAGAAGTTTTTTTAGTCAGCATAAACTGCCAATTGTTCTCTCCGGGTACTCCAGCTTCCTCCCACAGTCCAAAAACATGATTTTTTTAGGTTAATTGGCTTCTCTAAAGTGTCCTTAGGTGTTAGTTTGTGTGCGAATGGTTGTTTATCCTGTTTGTCTCTGTGTTGCCCTGCGATGGACTGGCGACCTGTCCAGGGTGTACCCTGCCTCTGGCCCATAGACAGCTGGAGATAGGCACCAGTACCTCTCGCAACCCCTCTTGGGATAAGCTTGACGGAAAATTGATGGATGGATGAATAAATAAACTGCCAATCCTCCAAGATCTAGTTATCTACCTACTCTTACTGTTCATTAAAAAAATCCCCAATATGTCTGAGGTAACCCTGGCAGCGCAGCAGAAGCAGTCCTGTTTGGTGTTTTCTTCCTGTGAAAGAAATTATATAACAATTAAAGCAACACTATAAGTGGAAAAGACAAACACAGCTAAATCAAAGTGTTTAAATGGCCTAGTCAAAGTCCAGATCTGAATCCTATGGAGGCAGTGCTGTTTACAGAAGTTCCCCTTCCAGTCCCACTGAGCTTTACTCATTGGGGCAAATTAGATTTTTATTTTTGCTGCACTTTAAATGGACTGCATCATTTGCTATGCCTCATTTTCTTTACCAGACAAAAGAAAAACGAAAGGTTCTGACGCTGCTGGGCTGGAGAGCCCCAAAGCCAAAGAAGCCCGGAAAGAAAGGAAAGTTCTGGAGAAGAAAATGGCGCTCAACAGGAAGCGGAAACTAGACTCAAGGTTTGACATCAGCAGCTGCACCCTTTAACTGCTACTTCTAACAAAGAGAACAGCTTTAGATGTTTCAGGAGATGTAAGCTTTAAATGTTTCAACTCTCTTCCAGAAAAGAGGGAGATGTGTTTGTAAGGAAGAAAGGAGACGCAGGAGAGATATCCAAGAAATCGGTGAGAGAAAGAAAACATTTTGCATGGAGTTGGTTGACTTTTACGGAACTAGCCTTTATTTTGTTCCATTTCTTTTTTAACAGGAGGTGAAACAATCGACTTCAAAAGCCCCGCAAGCTAAACTAGTGAGAAATCTGTCTGAATCTGCCTCCGCAGACGACAGGCCTGGGCGCACAAGCGGCAGCGTGTCTGAGGACTCCAGTGAAACTAAGAAGCTGTCTGAGAAAAGCCGGACACACTCGTTCATCCTGGATCTGGAACAAGGCTCCCAGGAGGCCCTCAAACAGCGCTCCTTTGGGAAGTTTGACCGTCTGCCCCGAAAAGAACGCAAGGAGAAGGAGCGCAGCCAGTCTGACGAACGCTCCAAGCTCAAACAAAAGCACGAGAAGAAACCTGAACATCTGGTGGAAGAACCTCTGCAGAGGGACGGTGGTGCAAGAGTTCCCTCTGAAGAAAAGACTGAGAAGAAGGTTAAGGTTAAAAGTGAGAAGAAAATATCTGGGAGTACTAAAGAAGGAAAGGTGACAGAGGACAGCACTGATGAAGGAGGGTCTAAAGATCCGAAGAAAATAAAAGGAGGATCTATGGAGAAGGACAAAATAAAGGAAAAAGATAAGAGCAAAGAAAAGGAAAAGGTTAAAGGAGATAAATCTTTAATGAAAAGTGATCTAAAGCAGCTGAATCGCCCAGATTCTGCGGGATCCTCTGAGGACCGCTCCGATAAGGAGCCCAACTCTGAAAGCACCAAGAAGAAAGAGAAACACAGTAAGGACGTGTTGAAAAGGTCAAAGAGTCACTCTGAGGACAGACCCGGAGATAAACCCAAATCTAAAACGGATGGTGAGAAAGAGAGGAGTAGAACCGACGGCCAGAGGACGCACAAGTCTAACCCTGAAACTGAAAAAGATTCCAAAAAGGTAAAGCCTGCAGATAAAGACAAGAGTGCCGAAAAACCAAAGGCAAAACCCAAAGAGGAGGCAAAGGCTGCATCATCGGTGAAGATGGAAAAGAAACCTCAGAGTCCTGATGTCCGAAGCGCTTTGATCTGTAAACCTGAAGCAGTGAAAGGGAAGAAAAAAGATGGAAGCCAAAAAGAACAGAAGAAAGCGTCTGAAGATGCTGCACTTGAAAAGTCAGAGCTTAAGATGTCAAAGAAAAAGCTGGAGAAGAAAGATAAAGTCCCTGAAAAGAAGATTGAGAGACAAGAAGATAAACCCCAGAAAGATGACAGAGCGGAAACCTCGGTCAAACCCTCCAGGTCAGACGAGCCTCCAAAGAAACAAGCTCCTCTCCAAGAGGCAAACACAGAGTCTGATCCCCCTACCGCCACCACGTCTTTCTCAGACGACACCTGCGACGCTTTAAGTGACATCACCCCCGAGCCATCTGAGGGAGAGGCGGAGTCACAGCCTCCCGAAAACCCAGGAGTACGCGCCGAGGCCAACGCCCTGATGACGCTGATGGACGTCTGCGCGTCGGCCGAGGCCAGACTCTCATCTGAGAGTCCTAAAGAGGAAGTGACTCCAGAGATGGAGCTTCAGGACGCCGACATGAAGATGAAGGAAGCCGCCCTGACCTTGCTCTCCATGGATCCCGATAGTACAGTTTCCTCCAGCGTAGGCACCCACGGCCTGAGGGAAGACCCACAGTCCATGGATACCACAGAGACAGCATCTCTATCAGGGCCGATGGTCACTGAAGCTTCACCGGCTGCTTCGGAACACTCCTCTCCAGTGGAAGCCTCCCTTCAAATCGAGCTTACCGTCCCTGAAACTAGTCTGGAAACATTTCAGCAAACATCTGGAGCTCAGGAGGAAAGGCCTCTTCATCTGGTGGAGGCAGCAGCTGAAGGTTCTGCATCTCCACAAACAGCTGCAGAGAAGGAGGAGAAAGAGCTCCCCCCAGTGGATGCAGCACCTGGAATCGAGCTCGCCGACACTGAAGCTATAACTCCTGCATCTCCACAAACTGCAGCTGAAGAGGTAAAGCATCCCTCTCCAGGGAAGGCGGGACCTCAGGTTGAACCCGTCGCAGCCGAGGCTTCCGCAGGTTCACCTCCACAAACCACTGCATCTGAAGAGGAAAATCAGATTTCCTTCATGCAAGCAGCAGCTTCAGGTGAGCCTACAGCCAGTGAAACCGAACCAACTCAGGAAAATGCTGCTGAAGCGAAGGACCAGGAGCAACCGGCACAGGTTGATGCACCTGAGGCCCCAGGTGTTTTATCTTTACAACCTGCAGCTGAAGAGGTACAGCCTCCCTCTTTAAAGGAGGAAGAACCTCAAACTGAACAGATTGCAACTGAGGTTTCATCAGCTTCACCTCAACGAACCGCTGCATCCAAAGAGGAAAGTCAGCTTTCCTTCATGCAAGCTGCAGCTTCAGGTGATCTTACAGCCCCAGAAACCAAACCAGCTGCATCTCTGCAAACCACTGCTGCAGCTGAAGACCAGGAGCAGCTGGCTCTGGTTGAAGCACCTGAAGCCTCAGGTGTTTTATCTTTACAACCTACAGCTGAAGAGGTAGAGCCTCCCTCTTTAATTGAGGAAGCTCCTCAATCTGAACTGACTGAGGTTTCATCAGCTTCACCTCAACAAACCACTGAATCCGAAGAGGAAAAACAGATTTCCTTCATGCAAGCAGCAGCTTCAGGTGAGCTTACAGCCACTGAAAGCAAACCATCGCAGCAAACTGCTGCTTTAGCTGAGGACCAGAGTCAGCTTCCTGTAACAGAGACTCCGCTGGCTGCTGGTGAGGCAAACCAGCCCGCCTCTCACGTCCAAGAAGCACCAGAGACGGAGATCAGTCCCATGGAAACCTGCTCATCTGCATCACAACTCCTGGATGAACCGGAAAGCTCTGAATCCAAGATGGATGCTTGTGAGACAAACAATGCAGACAAGGCTCCTCTGGAGGTAATCAAAGAGTCAAACAGTTTCTCATCTAAACCTTACCAAGGATATGAATACTTTTGTCCACTTTTGGATTCATTGGCTGAATGGTATCAGTTAAAATCTGTTTGTTTCTCTACAGGAGGGTGAAGCCATCTTTGAATGTCCAGATTCTTCCAAGGAGGAATCTAAAACTATTGAAACTTTATCAGCACCAGCAGACAAAGACAATGGTTAATTCTTAAACATATATTTTAAATTCTGTTCCTATTGTTAAGACGGACTGTAATTCTCATCCGTTTCAACCTTTTTTTTTCACCAGATTTGTCACCTGTTGTACCAGAAACAGAGGAGACCACCAGCGGCACAGGAGAGAGAACAGCTGGAGCTGCTTCTGGAGCCTCTGAGCACGTTTCAGAAATTCTCAGTGAATCTGGTGAGAGCCAATAGATTGATGCTAACATGCAGCCACAAGCTCTTCTTCTGGTATCTTAACCTTTCTGATTTCTGCAGAGCCAAACGCTGCAGTCAGAGAGAGCAACCCAGAGGTCAGGAAAGAATGATGTTACACTGAGATGAATGTGAGCTGCTTATTCTGTCTAAAATCTCTTTTAAATTTGAACTCTTATGTGTCTGCTTATAAATATTAGGGAGTGGAGGGAGAAGGTGGAGAAAACCAGACGGAGGTTGAGAAATGTAAGTTTTTTTTCATTTTTAAATCAATGAATGATGTTCAATAACAAGTTTTTATCACAGGAAAAGAATCACTCCAGTTTTCTATATTTTGCTCTTTATTTGATCAAAACATGTTATACGCAGGTGAAACTCAGAGTAAGACAGCAGAGGAAGGTGATCCAGAGAAGGTAAGATGTTACCCTTCAAACTTTGCTTCAATCAGTCTAGCATGTTTCTCATCCGTTGACCTGTGGTTGATCTTGTTTTAGATGGAAGCCAACATGTCCGACCAAACCCAGGCTGGAGACGCTGGCCCAGAGATCACAGTAACCAAACAAACCGGTACGTTTATTTCTCTGATGTTTATATCCATCGTTTTGCTCCTGATCTTCATTGCTACACGTCTGAATCTTTCAGCTAACGTCTCGAGAACAGACAGTCAGGATGATGAGAAGAGCTCAGACGTATCAGAAAAGGTGGGTTGGTTTTTATATTTTGGTATAGTATAACATTCAGTTCAGCTTCCATCTTGAACCCTATTTGTTTCACAGGAAGAGAAAGTGGTTAAGAGAAGAGGACGTAAAAGAAAGCTCTCAATAAAAAGCGGTACGTTTAGTTTGATGTTTAATTGATAAGAATCTAAGTTTCTTTATTTTTTGATTTGGCTGCATTTGAAACATTGTCGGAGGGAAAATAATTTTTTATCGAAACTAAATTATTGGAGGCTTTCTTATTATACGTACACTGATTTATTTATTTTTTTGTCTCATTTAAATGTTTCATATGATTAAAGTAACTTAATGTCCAAAAATGATAAGTAAATACCAAATGCAGGTTATAAATGATGATTTGGGGTAGTAAAGGAAATACCAAGACAAATCTGGCCAAATATTAGAAAGTCGTCTAACTGGTTGTTCAGTTATTCATCAACTATTAAACAATTAATCGGATTAATCGATTATTGAAATAATCGTCATCTAATTTAGTAATCAATTTATGGTTAACTGGAGTATAGAGACTCTAAAATGGGCCTTTAGCTGAGTAACCTCCTCAGAGCAGTAATTATACCAAAATTGTAAAAAAAGAAAAAAAAAAGGGGGGTAAATATTTTGCTTCTAAGATAAAAAAATCTTTTTCATCTGTCAATATGCTCTATCCAGCAATCCTTAATTAGAAAGCTTTATTTTCTCTTTGTTTAATTTAGTGAAAAGTCATCTTTAAGGAACCTTTTACTTTCCAATTATTAATCGAAAAAATAATCAACAGCCTAATCCATTTGGAAAATAATCGTTAGTTGCAGCAACAACTGCTTTGCCTTGGAAACATTTTGGCCCATTCCTCTTTGTAGAATCTTTCGTTGTTGATTGGAAACAGAGGTGCCACTGAGGTTTAGGCCGAGTTGATTCTAGCTTTCACCATTTGTGGCACTTTAGAAATGAGAAAGAAGATGCCACAGATGTTACTTGCGTATCTGTTCATCAGTTTCTTTAAACAGCAACCGGATCTTTTACCATTTTACTGTACTTCATGTTGTTTAACAGGTTCTAAGTGAATGTTTTTTTTTTTTTTTTATGTAGCAGTGATGAGTCCTGATCAGGCCTTCCCTAAATATTTGGTTCATTCCAGTTCATCCATGTTTTCTTATTTGATTATATTTGACATAGAAGCATATTGATTTTTATGTTTTCTCTCCCTATGGTAAGGTAAACTGTCATTGTAAGACTGCTTATTATATTTACAGGTTACATACAATGTTTTTAATAATCTTAAACCTTTAAGTGGCAAAAAACAGTAAGAAATCTGAGAAGTGATAAAATAATCAAGGCAGTTTTATTTTTATTGTTTGCAAATAAGAAGAGAGAATCCATCTAACTAACAGAACCACTCCTTCTAACCTAATAAAGTGTTATTTTTTTAACATCAGATGATACTAAGGATGAAAAGAGCGAGCTGCTGTCTGTCGAGGTGAGTCTAACCTTGATAAGGTTGTAGCTTTTAAATGAGACATAATGGGGTTAAAGTTTACATGCTGTCTAAAATCATCAGGAAAGTGAGAAGGAGATGGTGGTAGAGTTAAAAGCACCTCGCAGGGGACGGCCACCTAAAAGCACAGAGCAGGATCCTCAGAAAGAACCTGAGAGATCGGAGAAGACTCCGGGCCGTAGAGGAAGGCGCCCAGGAGGCGCAGCTAAAGGGGCAAAAGATGGTGGGTGCCTAATGTTTGATCATCCAAAAAAAGTGAAGAAATGTTAAAATTATAATAAACATGATTTTAGTCAGAATTGATTTGGTCTGAAATGCCAATAGATTAGATTTTTTGAAAAATCACTCACTCTTATCAGCATTATTCTTTATTTTTCCCCCCATTAAGAGAGAGGATGCAATGATTCAGTTATGAAGTTTTTTTAAATATAGCTTGTTGTGACATACTGCAGGACATGACTTTATGTTTAAACAGACAAAGTGGGATTTCTTTTCTGTCTTTTAGAATTTAATTGGTTTTCTATCTTTATATTAAATCTATAAAACAGATGCTGTTAGCAGGTTGTTGCAGAGGAGTGAATGCTTTACTTTCTATGGATTCCTCTGATTTTGTATTCTAACTTTAGATATACAGAAGAAACATGAGGCAGAGGCCGAGGACAGCTCTGGTCAAACTGAGACACTCGAAGAAGAAGAAGACGGCAAAGAGGTTGGTTCAGGATATTATGTGTATAGCTGCAACATATTTTAAAAAGCATTCATCTCTGCTTATACTTTTATATTGCATAATAGTGCAAAATCTGCTGAATATTGAACCTCAAAAATTGCTTTTATTTGTAACTTGTCTTTTCAGGGCCCTGAGCAGCAAAGTGGAGCACAGGAAAGCAATCAGAGTAAAAGTAAAGTGCAGCTGGTTTCTCCTGCTGCAGAGGAACATAAAGACACTGAGAAGACAGATTTCCAGGAGAGCAGAGACACACGTGAGTTTGTTCTACTATCACACAAGGACTAGGCTCAGTTTATCTGGCAAAGAGTCCTCAAAAGTATGGATCTAAAGTTTACTATGGAAAATATTCCTTAATATTGTATGGATTTACGTGATTTATAAAATACTATATTTTCATGAGTATCCAGTGCCAGATATAGGGAAGCAGAGAGCAGACGTGTTCCTCAGATACTCATCATTAACCCCTGAGCGTCGTCTCCTCAGCTGACTAACAAAAGCTGCCCCTGTTATTGTGGTTCTATTTATTTTACACCACTTTAGTCTTTAAGAGAAAGATTAATGAAATATATGGCCCAATTCCAAACCGGCCCCTAAGCACTAACCCTCCGTTTGCGCGTTCCCAGTGAGGGTCTGCCACATTAAGTGCCATCCCAAGCCACCTAGTGGGTAGGGTGAGTGGACCGTTCAATCCTTAATAGTGAATCTGCATCAGTGCAGACTCGCTGGAATTTTTTAGCACATGTTACAGCAACCTAAATGTAAATTCCACTGGTTTGCTGCATCTTCATCGCACTGACAGAAAAAAAAAGGTAATTCATTCCAAAATGGAAGTTCCTCTTTGAAATAGTTTTATCTGACCATTTACATTTGTTCTAAGAAAGGGGCAAATGTTTAATGTTATTTATACTAAAGCCCATATGGGGCGTCACTATGTAACCATAGCAACAACTGCTTTCCTTTTCCGTTGGAGGGAAGAAGCCGTACCATTCTCATTTATACTCCCACACCTTCAATCAAGGCGCCTTCCACAGCTGAGAGTGACTTCATTGGAAGTGACACTCAATAGTTAAGGGTTAGTGCTTGGGCTGCGGTTTGGCATTCAGCTTTTGAGGCGAAACTGAGCCAAACAGTTCATAATGTTTACCATGTAATGATGATTAAGAACATAATAGACAAAACTTCTACTTTGAATAAAACGATTGATGTCAATGGACAATTACATATATTACATCTCTAATTATTATTATTTATTAGATTCAGTTCAAACTAGAAAAAGCAAAACTATACAAAGTAATTATTATTTCAATAGCTTGTTTTTACATTAATTTACCAAGACTATTTTACCTTCATTTCACTCAAATGTAAAGTTTGTTGCTGTTAGGAGCTGTTCTAGCTGTTGACCCCCAGTGGAGCAGGATGGACTCGCTGTCAGAGACTCTATCATTCAATATTATTTTCATTCAGTATTTTTCCAAATACTCTGAGTACAAGTTCAGCTAATTGTTTTGTCCCTGATGAAAAACAAATGAATAAATCAAGAAATAATAGACTTATTGATTCTGCAATATAAGAATTAACATAAAAGTCATCATCCGATCTCTGCAAAGCTTATTCGATCTTCAGCAGTGAAATCTGTCTATAAGAGAGGAGCTGTGTTCATGTGGATGTATCTCTAACAACAGCTCATGTTTACACTCCAGGTCAGACGGGGATGAAGAGGAAGAGATCAGAAGAAGCAGAGGAGTCTGGAGAGGTGGTAGGATTTCTAATTTAGTCCCTTTTTTTGGACCAAACTGTTACTGTAGTGTTTTTAATTTCACCCAATTTTAACTCTGCAGGAATTTGGGGCTGAGCAGGGGGGGTCAGTGAATGAGCAAGAACAAACTGAGGAACAAGAAGACAAAATCAGTGGTCAGGAAACACACCTCATAGGAATGACATGATGCAAATGGGAGATTATCACAGATGTTGCTGCATAAAATAATCTTCATTACTTTGTGAAGTGCAGATGTTCCCTTATAAAAAAAAACAAAGAAATGTTTGGTCTATTTTTTTCAGGATCCACCTCTTCTTCAAACCCTTCAGAAGAAGTGAAAGAAAAGAGTGGCAGTGAGACAAAGCCAGACAACGTATGTTGCCAATGAAATAACGTCCTGTTAATCAATAACCTCCTATCTGCAATGTTCATTATTCTTCTGTCATTGTTTCTATTCTGCGTTTTGGACTTTCTTTAAATGTTTTGACTTCTTGCTTTGGTTGGTTTAACTCCTATTAGTCTGAGGAGCAGCAGGACCAAGAGGCAACTCCTAAGAAACCGGCTCGGAGGGGACGACCACCGAAGGCTGCAACTGCAGCTGCGGCTGCTGCTGCTGCTGCGGCTGCTGCTGCTGCTGCAGCTGCGGCTGCTGCAGCTGACGACTCAGGTAAAAGCAAATATCATCCAGTAATATTAACTGAACCAATAAAAAAAAGAATCCTTTGTTGTTACTACATTGTTAGTATTAATAATTCTTATGCTACGTTCAGACCACACACGACTGAAGCAGCAAAAGCAGATGGTTTACATGCAGTCTATGATTGACACGCATCAAAATGTCCTGCAGCGCATCTGAGCAGCCTAAGCAGCGCCTCATGAGCTTCTGAGCATCTGCTGTGCGTTGCGCGCTTCACAAGCAGCAGCTGCTAGAGATGCGCCGTATCAACCAATCAGAGAAGCTGATCTGGGAGCTGGCAGGGAGACAGACACAGCACTACTGATGCAGAAAGCTATGATCACTCCTCTGAAACTGTTTATTAACACCTAAATTAACTTCAAATGTGGAATCCTGTTGGCAAAATATGTTTGCTTTTATTATTATGGTGCCTGCAGTTTGTACCACGTACCTGAAAAACGCTAACCTCTACTTCCAGCCGCCACAAACTGTAGCGGAAACCCCCCAGCTGCTGCTGGGGATTCCCAGCGACAGCGCACCACCGGTATGTGGGGGTCTGCGCGGCTCTGCAAATAATATTTTAAGGCAGGATCATAATCTTGATGAACTGACCGCACAGAATATGTTTTCAGGTGAATTTTGTCGCTTAAAAGTACATTAAAACTTCTTTTTACCAGCTTATCACAGCAAATATACCAAAGCCGCTCTCTGCCATTGAACATAGAAGCATCAGATGCATCTGGACACACTTTACTGAAAGCTTCATGAGCGTCAAAGATGATCCTGAGGTCTATCTGACCTTAATGTAGACAAGCATCAACAATGAAGCAGCAGACGCTTTTTTGCTGCCCAAAGTGTGTGCGGTGTGAACGTTGCATTAATCTCTTCTTCATTTTTTTTTTTGAGTATGTAAAATACAATTGCTAAGCCGGATTAGCCCTGTAGAAGTTGAGCTTTTATGTTGGTAAATAATCTGGAAGATGCTTTAAAATGAACTTGTGAAAAAATGTTTGACATGTTTGACACACGTTTGTCCCATACTGTTGTATTTTGGCAAAAGTATGTCTTGAACCTTTCTGGTTTTTTTTTTTTGTCAATTATTCTTCAACAGTAAAAAAGGAGAGTAAACCAGATGAGAGGGAAAGTGGGCAAAATGATGAAGACGAAGAGGAAAGCAACAGTGAAGAAGAGGAGGGAAAGGAAGCTGCAACCAGAGCAACGACTCGGTCTGCAGCGCGTCTCGAAGCTCAAAGGTAGCTTTTAAGATCTTTTTTGATAGTTTAAGATTAAACATCAGCCTCCACTGTGGATCCACGAGGTCAGTTCTTTTAAAGCTGCTAAAAAGAAGTAGAGTAAAACTGTTCATCTGTGGTGATAAACATCTGATCGCTGTCTTAACATCTTTAGACTGAAGAACCCATTGACGCCGTTTCATCACATTTAATGAGAGCAGGGAAGATTTAGCACTAAAGCAATAATTTAGTTTTACTGCTCCTCAGAAACAAGCCAAGTAAACCCTCCACCCGGGCAAGTCGACAGAGCGGTAAAGAGGAGACCACAGCTGGCACACGGTGAGTCCGTCTCTTTGAGGTTCAGCAGCTTGAAGCAGCTTTCAGCAGAAGGCAACCAAAAGTGACTGCAACCGGAGGCCGTTTCACTGTAAAAGAGAACATTTTATTCAAAAGCTTTCCTGGAATGTCACGTTATTAGTTCCCAGAATGAAAAGGATAAATCTGTCCCCTGAATTAAAGGAAAACGGCTTTAATCGTTTTAAAATTACCCTCATTTTTGCTTGGTTACTAATACTTTTTTTCCTATTTTTTTTAAGCTTTCAAGTAAGAAACTATTCATATATTAGTGCCCATTTTCATAAAATGATCAAAATAGTTCCCCTTGAGTTTTCCAAATGTTAAAAATGGTTAATCCTAATCATTATGTCATATATTCTTTGGATTATAAGTCACTGCAGTTCCGCTTAGAAACATCATTTCTAAAGTTCTGGTTTAATGTCTGTTTGTTTTTTATCTTCTGGTTTATATTTTTTTTTTTTACTTTTTATCCTCTTTTAAAAGTCATTGGAACTAAAATAAAGCTTATTTTTTTAGACCCCAGCACTAGATAAAGTAATTATATTTTTATTTGTTACCAAAAGAATCTTAATTCTGGTGGTTATGCTTGGTGAAAGCGGCTTTTTTGTTGTAAAATACGTCCTAACCATGTGATTTTATGCCTTTTTTGCAGAATATTTTTTTTATTTTATCAGAAATCTTACAATCTGAAACCCCGGTTTCACAAATTGATATCTTGGAAAATGTATCTTCAGTTTGTGTGTATGCAGTAGTTACTGAGGAACTACCTCACAAATAACCCTTGAATTACCAAATGTACCCACACTCGGTCCTTGTTTCCCTCCTGCAGCGGGACGAGGGCCCAGGCTTCAGCCAAGGGGGGCCGTAAACGCGAGGCCAGCCCCCCTGCTGTGCGAACACGGGGAGGACAGAAATCAGAGGAGCCCCCTTCGAAGAGAGCCAAACGCTGAGGCCTCTGACAGCGGTGGAACGGCGCTCTCCCCCCAATGTTGTTTTTACTCTACTTATTCAGAGTTAGCAGTCAGTTGGCATTTTGAAACTGTTGGTGCTTCATTGACCGTCAGTATTGAACGGCTCTGGATATTATTATTCACTCTGGTCTGATGGCTGAGTGTAAACCAGGGGATCTGTAAAGAACCCCTCAGAACCCCCTCTGCTGCTCCGCGCCCATATGGTTCGGATCACACTCATCATTCCGCGCTTTATCCAGTAATTCCCAGCGAACCGGAGCTTTTCAGACCAATCAGAGGCCTAATGTGCAGCCAGGCCAAGCTTTGAGATAAAGAGGCAGAATCAGAAATCACTGTCAGTCAGCAGAGGGGCCACATCTCAGCCTCAGACTTCTGTTACTTAAGCACACACTCGTAAAGGCTGTTAATCTTTGTTGTTCTTTTGATTTCCTAATATTCATTCTGTGAATGAAACTTTACCATTTTGCTTCACCTTTTTGTCTTTATATCCACTGTAATCTAGTTTTAGTGAAAGAGGAGTTTTAACTCTGTTTTCCTGTGGGCATTTCTAACATCGGTTGATTCCTCAGTGGAAGCCATCAGGTTGTTTTTATTTTGTTAGTCCTGCTAAACGGATTCGTTTCATAAATGTAAATTAGTCAGTAATCGATCTGTTCTTTTTTCTGCATCAGTATTTTTTTTCTCCAATAAAAACAATTTGTTTTGTTTTTCTAATCAATGCTCATCTGGACCTTTTTAATGTGAAAAAAACATTTGTTATTTGTGCATATTGTGAGGAAAACGATCAAATGTTTTTAAGATGCTTCCTAAACCAGGAGCTGTGCTGCAGGTTTCTATTCAGCCTTACTGAGGTTGAACATGGCAGCAGGTTTTTCTACCAGCTTTGTCCTTCAAGATTCTTTGAAAATAAAGCAACGATTGCCACATATTTCCAGTATGACCTGCTGCTGTGTCTCTGCTGAAGATGCCGAAGATATTTCATCGTAACTGTGTTGTGTTCAAGCTGATGATATGAAGTGTCAGCTTTTGTACATATGCAGCATTTTCTATGTAGCCCAAAATGTTCAGGTTAGTCTCATCTGACCAGATTATCTGCTTTCTCTTCTGGAAAACTACAGTTTTTCTCTGCACGCTTTTTCACAAAGGTCAGATTTTTAAAGAGTTCTGTATGCTCTTTGCTGAGCTGTGCATTTTCTTTTACCTTTATGATGCTTTTTGCTCACTGAGCTTCTAAAACAAACTCCTGAAGCTTTTCTAATACAGGTGGATTTATACTGAAGTTTACTACCGGTAATTAGGGAACATCTGGGCAGTAATTAAGGATTTAAGGGAATCGGTGGCATTTACTTGAAATCTCATTTATAAAGCATTGAATTAGTCATTCTACACATCTTGTTTCTTTACATATATATATATATATATATAGCAAAAACAAACCATTCCACTGGATGGCTTTCCTATTTAATTCATAAGTACTTTATTGATCACTATCCCAGTGAAAAGATCTAACAGTGTAGATGATTTATCTTTTTTTGATTTACCCTCATCATGTCAAAAATGCTATCTTCTATTTCCCTAAATGGATGCGCTGTGTGCAGAGTGTAAATAAGCAAAGACCTTAACCAATCGCCTCAGAGCTGAGGAGGAGAGAGGACATTCCTGCCTGCAAATGGAGGAGAAAACTGAAATATTTAACCATCATTAACACATTTGGAGCCTTTAATCGCTGCACCTGAACCTTCAGGCTCCAGGAAGGAGGAGACTGAAAGAGTTTGCTGGTCAGGGTTTTTCCA